GTAGAGGAAGGGCACCTGGCCGTCAGCACCAGCTGCCAGCTCGGTGGGTGCGTTGTAGGCCAGCTGCAGGAAAGGCAGCAGAGCAGCAAAGGAGGACCAGGGGAGTGCGCGGCGTGAGGGAGGGAAGGAGGGATAGATGGAGAGGAGGGCAGCGCCACCTTGGCCGTGCCGCACCCCCCGTGCTTGCTGCGATGCATCCGGTTGCTGCCTGATGCAGAGCACTCTCCAGTTGGTCTGGCGGCATCATTGCACCCCTTGTATCACTCACATGTGTGTACAGCTTCTCCACACCGCTGAAGCCAGTCGCCCGCTCGTGGTGCTCCTTGATCACTCGGGGCAGCTCCTCGAGCGGCACCACGGGGCACCACCGCCACTCTCCGCTGCGCTTGACGCAGCGGCACAGGATGTCCTGACCGCCAGCGCCCTTCAGCACCTGGAAGAACTGCAGCACCTTCTTGCTGTAGTTCTTGGCGCCGCCCTGCACTGCCGCCCCCCCTCCCGCACCCCGCCGCCGCCGGCCTGAGGGCGCCTGCTGGTCGCCCTGCTTGATCCGGATGATGCCCTCTACATCTGACTTAGTGAGAAACACATTCTTGGCGCCGTTTTGGCGCCGTTCTAAGGCATAAAGGATGACAGGTTGGTTCATAATTTTAAATTTGCGGCAGCTGCGGGGTGCGGGAGGGGAGAAATAGAAGCCTTAGAGACTCTGAAAGGCGAAGGAAAGGGAGGGATCGCGGGAGAGAGCGTGCCTGATGAGCCAGACGAATCGGGGGAGGTGCCACATCAGCGGGCAACACATGCTGCGTCTGCTGCCGCCACCTCATCCCACCATGAAGTGTTGTTTTGCAGCCATCGCATCAGATCGACCGTTTGCAACCTCTACGAGCGCGAATCCAACCCCTTGAGCAGGGAGGCGCTTGGCCTCATGTCCCGCCTCACCTGCGCACTTCGCCAGCCCCTCCCGCGGCCCGCACCCTCGCCGCCGCCCATCAGGGCGTGCCCGGTCTTCGGACGAAGCAGCATGGCGTGGCGGCCGCTGGGCGCCGCCGCCGCCGCCGGCCGTGCGCAAGCCACTGTAGCCGAGTCCCTGCACCTCCTCTCCTTTCCTCCAGGCACCAGCGAGGTCAGCGCTCCTGCAGCAGCGGAGGCGCTCACGGGTGCAGGCCTGGCAGCGCTGCTGCCAAGCCCTGCCTCCTGCGCGGCTGGCCGGTGCCGCGTCTCGCATCGTGCGCCCGTGCTCACGCCGCTTGGCCGCCGGGCCCACCACCGCTGCCATCCCTGCTGCAGGAGGAGGTGGCGCAGCTGGTGGACGGCATGTGGTCGCTGCAGTATGTGGCGGCAGGCCCCATCTGTGGCGTCGCAGGGCCGCTCGCCCTCGCTGCCTTTCCGCCCAGTGGCGGCGCCGCGGCGGCAGCCTCGCCGCAGGCGCCGGCCCCCTACTCCCACGCCGTCCTCTTCCGCTACGCCAGCGCCGCCAGCCTGGAGCGGTTCGAGGCGCAGCTTCGGGTGCAGCTGGTGCTCGGGGGATCCGGCGCACCGCACGGCACAGGCGCGGCTGCTGCCGTGGCCACAGCCAGCGCCCGCTCCCCTCCCTGCCTGTCCCCTCTCCCTCGCTGCTCTTCCGCCGCGGTGCCTAGCCGCCCCACTGCCCGCGCCTGCCAGGCCTCTGTGCCCACGCCGCTGCCTCCCCGCCTGCACCCCAAGCCCCGCCATAGATCCCCCTCCCCTTCCCGTGCCCCCTGCCTGCTGTGCCTGCTGCCCCTGCCCTGATGTCCTTCCTTCGGGCGGGACAGTTGGACATACCGCTCCTCCTGCCCTGCCCTGCCCCGCCCTGCCCCCTGCAGCCATGTCCACCCTCAACTTCCTGGGCTGCGTGCCAAACGAGCTGGAGGCCATCTTCCGAAGGGGCGGCGAGTGGGAGGCGGGGCTGGAGCTGGTGGTGGCGCTGGGGGTGCAGGTGCGGGGTGGCTGGTGTGTGTGCCGCAGGGATGGTGGTGGCGGTGCAGGTGCGAGGTGGTGTGTGTGTGTGTGTGTGCGCGTGCGGCTGGGCAGGCTGGGCGGGAGGCATACCGCAAGAGCGGCAGGCTGGGGAAGGGAGGCATGCCGTTGGGGGGCGGCGGCACGCTGTCGGTGCAGACGTGCGGGCGCCGCACGAGCCCCCCTCGCGCGGCCTACCTCATCTCTGCTGCCCTGCCACCCACACCCACTTTCCCGCACATCCCCTGCCCTGCAGGAGGGCAGCGGCGACGGGGATGCAGAAGAGTTTCTCTCCCTGGCCCAGCAGCTGGCGCTGTCCTCGGCCTTTGGGGCGGTGCAGTGCAGCCACGGGCGCTGCCTGTCGCCGCCGCGGCACGGCGCGGGCGGCGGCGGCGGACAGCAGCAGGAGGGGGCTGATGGCGGCGCGGCGGCGCCCGCGGGTGCGGCGCCGGTGTTGGGAGCTCCCGACCGGATGCTGCTGGCTCGCTTCCAGCAGGAGCAGCAGCTGAGGGACTTCCTGGCCTGCCCACCCATCGCCGCATTGCTGGAGGTGGGGTGGGGTGGGGGTGCTGGCTGGCGCTGTCAGTGCGATGCGGGTTGCGGGCTTAATGTGGGGAGGGGGTCCTGCTGCGGGGTGTTCCTGCCCGTTCCCGGCTTCCCAGGTTGCCGCGCTTGGGGTATCGGCCTGCCTGCCTGCCCACCTCCCCACCTGCCTACCTGCCTACCTGCCTGCATGCTTGTCCTCATACCCGCCTGCCGCCCACCTTCCGCGCTCCCCCCTCTGCCTGCTGGCCTGCAGGGCGACAAGCGGCTGCCGCTGCGTGCGCTGTGGAGCTGCGCGCTGGAGGCCGCCCCCAGCGACAGCAGCACCAGCAGCCAGGTGGCGGGAGGCCTGCTGTAGTGGGGGAGCTTGCACACCCACACCGTACCACCCTTGACCACGCCTGCCATGCCCCAAACGCTGGTGTGCTGGTAGGCAGCTTGTGTGCCCGTGCATGGCCTGGTCCTGGCCTGCCCGCCCTGCCATGGCGTCCCACCCGCTCTGCCATTCACTTTTAAACCGTGTTATTGTTCCATTCTTGTCAATACTGTAATGCAAAGTGATCGAGATATATGCAAGCGGTTGATGAGGTGGGGGAGCAGGTCTGTCACCAAAATGGGCCTGTGCCGCATGCCCAATAGGTTGGCTTCCTCATGGGGTTTGGTCGGGCCTCTCACGTGGCTTGCGCAGATGGCGGCAGCAGTGCTAGCTGGAGCAGCGCCAGCCGCCTCTCAGCCCAGCGCATGCCGCTGCGCCTGCCCGGACCCAGCTGGCAGCGCCTGGCGCCTCAGGCCAGGATGCCGACGAGCTTGCTGGCCAGCCACCAGCCGTGCCCGATGGCTGCAGCACAAGGCGGGGGGCAGCGTCAGGCAGCGTTCACGCCCACGGCACACCGCCCGGGAGCCAGGTGATGCCACGGCACGCGGCGCAGCAGCACGAGGCACGTGCCAGCCCGCAAGCAAGGCCGTAGGTGACCCTAAGGTACAGGCAAACGGGTGTACTGTGCAGTACGCATGGTACTGCAGGGCCCACCTGTGATCAGCGTGCCCAGGTTGATGAGCGAGGAGATGCCGTGCCAGTTGCCAAAGCTCTTCTTCAGGGCGGTGATGGCGGCTGCGCCAGCGATGGTGGGGGCGTCCCGGGCGTGGGTGGTGGGTGGCGGGCAGGGGGCCCGAGCACGGCAGGCAGCAGGCATAGCATGGAGCATGCGGGGAGGCGTCCGACGCACGCCGGCATGCCGCAGCGGCCGCGCAGCAGGCGGCGGCGGGCGGTGCAGGCCCGGCAAGCAGGCAGCCAGGCACCCCGCTGCCAGCCAGCAGAGGTCTGATTCGAGGACGAGCCGCTCACCCTCGTCCCGCGGCCCCGCCGCGCTTTCCAGCTCGTACCGCTGGAACATGACCTTGGTGGTAATCGGCTCCACCACCAGCAGGCTCAGCAGGGAGGTGGCCAGGCCCAGGCCTGCAGGCGGGGGTTCATGGTTGGAAGATTGGATCGTGCATGGGCGTTATGTGTGGGACGGTGGTGGTGGCGATGCACGCGGGGGCAGACAAGGGAGCCAGGACCGGGCTCGTGGCCCCGCCTCCTGCCGCCAGGCACAGCCCAGCGTCTGCCAGCTCATCCCGCCGCCCCCCAGCCGGCCCCCCAGCCGGCGCCCATCTCACCCACAAGCACCAGCTGCTTGGCGGGCGGGGCGGCGGCGGCAAACAGCAGCACGCCCAGCTGGATGGCGGTGCAGGCGGCGCTGAGGGCAAAGTACTTGGGGAACAGGCGGGCCTGCAGGCGCCCGAAGGTCTGGCGAGGCAGGTGCCTGATCATCGTGATGCCTGCGGTGGATGGGGGGTGGGAGGGTGCTGGTGTCCTGGCTCACTAAAGCAAGGCCCACGAAAACAAACACATAAGTGAGAGGAGCAGAGGCTGGGTGGTTGCGGAAGGCAGCTGACAGCAATGTGGCAGGTAGGGTGGGCTGAGAGGAAGGGCAGGCGCGCCCAGCCTCTGCTCCTGCAGCTCGCGAGGCCAGTAGGGCATGCAACAGCGCAGGGGCACAGGGGGAAGCCGGCCAGGCGCACCCGCCACAAAGGAGGTCCACACCAGGGAGCCCAGCCAGATGCCATAGGCCAGCAGGTGCACAAACGCCACGCCGGCGGTGGGCAGGTAGGCGGTGCCGCGCGCCGCCGCCGCAACCGTGGCTGCGGGCAGGGGTGGAGACGTGTGGCGGCCACAGCGGGTGGGGACGGGGTAGGTGGGGCTGGCCAAGGGAGGCGAGGGAGGGAGGGGTCCTTGCGGCTGGCGTCTCTGTCTGTAAAACAAGTGAGGCACTGCACAGCAGCGCAGGTGCCGCTGCCTGCTGCTGGCGCTTCGGCCCCCCTGCCCCAACGCCTCAGCTCAAACTCCGCCGGTTCGCAGGGCCGCCCATGCCCCACCTGACAGCACCAGCAGGCGCACCCAGCGCTTGTTGGAGGTGGAGGGCTCGAGCATCTCGCCCTGCACGCCCTCACCCGCCGCCGCCGCCGCCACCACGGGGTGGCTGGCGGGGCTGGCTGCTGCGCCGGCGGAGCGCCGCCGCGCTGCACCGCTCATCCTGCTGCTGCTGCGGAGGCGGCGGGGAGGTGAGGGGGCAGGGGGATATCAAGCAAGCAGCAGGTGCCGAGCCGCAACAAGCAGGCAGAGGCGGCAGTTCGCCACCAGCCAACCACTCGGCACCAGCGGCGCCGTACCTGGTGAATGTCGCTCGGACCCTGGGAACGGAGGAGGGCAGGAGCGCGGTGCGGGGGCGTGGGCAGCAGCGGGCGGCAGCAACAGAGCCTGCTGCCAACGCAAACATCGCTCGAAACCCCCTAAAACAGCGGCGATCGGCGTCCTCACTCCTGCGAATGCGCGCACTGGGCGATCGGGCCTCTCTACGGGGAGCGCCGACATCTGTGCACAGTACACTGTGAGTACGGCGGCCTGCACTTGTGCGAGCCACAGAGCCGCCCAGCGCGATTGCCATCGCACCTGCCTCGTCCCAGAACTTCTGAATCCGTGGGCTGCAGCCCCTGAGCTATCTTTCTGCACCGGCCTTTGCGGGGCTATCGGGAGGCTCTGAGCGACATTTCTGTTGCGTTTCAGACATTTGTATAGCCCAACCGCGCGGTCCTAGGGCTCAATCCAACCAAGCACTGCACCCCTCCCTGATCGCCTTCCCCGGCTCCCAGCCCGCACCTCTGCCCTGTCGACATGCCCTACTAACCAGCCAGGAGCAGGAAGGCAATGCCTCCGCGGCGCAGGTCGCAGGTGCGTGCTGGCAGCGGCGGCTTTGGGCGGGGCGACTGGCTGGCAGCGGCGCCGGCACTCTCCCCTCTCTGCAGTGTGCCTGGCTGCCCTCTGCCCCCTGCAACCTTGTTCCCCACCGGATCCTCCACCTTCAGGACTCCGGGCTGGCGGCGATGGCCGGCCCCGCGGCCGATGACGGCCAGGCAGCGCAGGTGCCGCCCGCAGCGGCAGGCGGCGAAGGCGAGCAGCCGCCCGCGCCGGGCGGCGGCGGTGGCGACCCGCAGCCGCCGCAGGAGCAGCAGCAGGGCGGGGAGGAGGCGGCGGAGGTGGTGGACGAGGCGGCGGCGGCCGCAGCGGAGGAGGAGCGGCGGCGGGAGGAGGAGCGTGTGCAGGCAGAGGAGGCGGGTGTGATGGCAGAGGCGGCTCGCATCCGTGCGGTGCTGTCGGCATTCAAGGTGCGAGGAGGCAGCCCCCCCCGGCAGCCTTGTCGCTTGCGCAGCCAGGCAGTTGGCTCCAGCCGGCATCCAGCGGCGCGGCCGTAGCGCCGGGCTGGCTGGCTGGTGGCGTGGGTGGGGCGCGCGCCGTGGGCTGGCCCGTCTGCCGCCGGCGCTGATGCCAGCGCCGGGCCGCCTGCCTGGGTGTACTGCCTCGGTGTCCCGCCCGCAGGTGCCGCCCTGCCCAGAGCCCAAGCGCGGCAAGACGCACTGGGACTGCCTGCTTGAGGAGATGGCGGTGAGTGTTTGGCAGGGGGCAGAGGGAGGGAGTGTGAGCGAGGGAGGGAGAGAGGGGCCAGAGGGAGGCAGGCGCATGTTGCTGGCGGGGCTGCAGAGGCTGCTGCCTCGCCGCCGGCCGCCCTCCTCCCTCCCTTGCCCTGCTCCGGCAAGCCCCCGCCCTTCCGGCCCTCTCTCGGCCTCGGCCTGCTCCTGCCTCATCCTGCTGTCCCGCCCGTGCCTCGCACAATGGGCGTTACAAAGGTCGATTCAATCAGTGCTTGCCCTCACCCTCGCCCCATCCTGTTCATCCCGCTGCCCTGCTCCTGCCTGCCCTGCCCTGCCACTGGCCCCTCCACACACGCGCAGTGGCTTGCCAAGGAGTTTTCTAAGGAGCGCACCTGGAAGCTGAAGAGCGCCAAGCGGTGGGTGGGCAGGGGCGACGCTGTTGCGGCGGCCTTGCGGCGACGCCGTGCCGTGCCGGGTGGCTGGGTGGGCAGGCTGGCGGGCCGCACACGCCGCCACGCAGGCGCCGGGCGGCTGCTTGCCCGCCGCTCCGCGCGCGCATCGCTCAGCACAAAGCATGTTGTCACACACAAACCAGCCTCCCTTTGCTTCCCTTGCCTTGCCCGCCCCACCCCTGTCCCTGCCCCCGCCTGCCTGCAGCTACGCCCACGCCGCCCAGCGCTCCAACCTGGACCTCGAGTCCCGGGTGGTGGTGCGGGCACGGGAGGAGGAGCGGGCGGTACGCAAGCGCGCCGCCTGGATCGCCAAGGAGGTGGGGCGGGGTGCGGTGGGGTGGCCTGCCTGCGCCTGTGCCTTTGTGGGGGGCTGGGGCTGTGCGAGTGTGTGTGGCTGCCCCCGCCTGGGCG